CTCTATTAAAAAAAAAAAAAAAAAAAAAAAAAATAATATCTCGTATCAGAACCGGTAAAAATTGGACAAACCAATCCAAAATCAACAAAAATAAAACTGGGGAAACTAAAAAAATCATTTTGTTATTATTTTTATTTGATCTTAAATAAGTTTAAGATACATAAAGAAACTTAAATATTACACATCGGTATAAATTATTTTGTCAATTATTATTTAATTCAGTCTTTTTATTTTAGAAATACACAATTCGATTATTTAATTTTAAAAATATTTGATTTGATTCTTTTATATATTTCATTAATGTTACTAGTGTCTTTTTTTTTTATTTGATAGGAAGATATAATTATTAATTCCTTTACATTAAGTCAGTCAATATAAGAATATGGTAATATCTACAACTACGACTCTATGTCTAATAAATTAAAAAAAATAAGAAAATTAAATATTTTAATAATAAATTTGAAAGAATACACATTTATCAAAATATTTTTCCTTATTTGGTAGGCAAAAGAAAATAAAAAATGGTGAGTCTACTCAAAGATATTTTCTTCTTATTTTAGAAAAGAAAATGAGTAAGACAGAACATAAAGAGTAGAAAACCAAAAATACTTATTTATTATAGAAATATTTTTTTGAAATATTAATATCATTAAAATAAAAAATAATTTATTAATAACAAACTTAATTACATTAACAAGATCATAACAAACAACAAATTAAGTATTTGAAATAAATAAAAGGGAAATTATCTAATAAAAGAAAATTTTAAGTGGGTAGAATTAAATTCAAATTTATCTAAATATAAGGAAATATTACATTTATTAGATAGATTATTATTCAATTTTGTTTCCTTATTTTCAAAATGTTTAATTTGATCTTTTTATTTTAAATTTTTTTTATTTAATTTTATAATTTTGAAAAAATGTTCAATATTATATTTCTATCTAAATTGATACCAGAGTTAATAAAATTTGATGGAGAAAGAGAATTAAAATTTTTAAAAATTAAATAATGTAAATGAAAAATTAAAACAAAATTAACCTACTAATTTATTTATGTTTGTTGATTAACAATTTTAATTATTATTTATAAAGTAACTGTACAAAGCTAAATAAGTAAATATCACACAGCAAATTAAAAATGATACTCATTGTGATTCACTATAGTACAAAAGATATTCTATGTCTTCGTATATTTTATTTAAAAAGTATACATAAAATAAATGATAAAAAGTAATCGAAGTTAAATATTAGAGAGTGATTAACAATAAATGCGAGTTATTTTGGGTAGCTAATTATAGAAATTTTGGTTCACGGTGCAACACCTGTTAAGCTGGACCACCTATAGATAATGCTATTAACAACATTTCTCTTGTAGATTCACAGGACAAGTGATAAGTTATCACGCTCGTTGACATTAACGGTTAACAATCATTTTATCTTATTCATCAACCATTAATAAACCTATCAAAACTTCTAAAATTTTGACTATTTTTTTTTGTCATATATTACTGTTCGTTTAATTTAGTGTAAATAGTCGAAATAGATACATAAAGTAGTTTGTGATAAAAATCTTCTTTAACCAATATTCTTAAAGTTCTAATTAGTACTCCTTCTTCCTAATATTAGTGTATTATTAATATTCTTTAAATAAAATTGCATAAAAACTTATTCGTAAACTTATTTAAGAACCCATAAACAAATTACTATTAGATATAGTCTGAAAAGTCACCATCCTTCAGTACTGGTGAGTACAAGCTTTTTTCTTAGTGTGAAACATGAAACACATTCAGCATCATCTTGCAACAAGTTGTTGCAAATTATTATTTTTCAACAACTACGTGTCAATATTGTCTAGGCCTTTGGTCTTTCGGTCATGCACAGAGCTGAAGCCCTATTAGAAGACAACAAAGAAATGAATCCATGCCATCATATCTAATCATATCTTATTTACCGACCACACATTAAGCAACTTTTTTCAAAGTTTGTAGTTCAACCACCACTTACCACGTGTTCAATTTCCGTGTCTTTCTTCTTCGAGTGGAACACTACACTCCCCCGTTGTTGTAACCATATATATAACACTATGCCATACCATTTTGTAAGCTTTGTTATTCTTTCAATAATAATATATTACTCTATAGCATGCAAGTGTAAGAACTTGCCATGGCAAATGCTGCTTCCTCCTTTCCTTGTTATTGGGTCATTCTTGCTGCGGGCTTATGTTGTCTTAGTAACTGCATTTCGGGCCAGATTGTGTTGGGCTCAAGGTTATTGGCTAGCAAGGCCCAAGCATGGGTTTCTGAGAATGGCACGTTTGCTTTGGGGTTCACTCCAGCAGAGACTGATAATCGATTGTTTGTGATTGGCATTTGGTTTGCACAGCTTACAGGAGATCGAACTTTAGTTTGGTCACCCAATAGGTATTCATATCATCCTTTTCATTTGTGTTTGTATTATCATCATCATCTACTTTTTAAGTGAACTGATTAATATATGCATGCAAATGCAATGAATGTTTGTCAAAAGCAAATTATGCAAGCGAAAGTATTTGGAAAAATGAATTTCATTCAGTTTGTAAACGAGGATGTATATTTTGTGGTTAAATTTAAAGAAAAGCTCAAGAAAATTAAAATTTAGAGATGAATTTCATTCTTAGTTATTAGATTTAACTGAGGTCTCAAAGTGAGCTCAATTCAGATGGTCAATCATACTTATCATGGATCTGAGTCAAGTCATATTAAAAAAAAAATGTACAAATTTTAGTTAAATTCTATCTTGATTCACTTAACTTGTAAGCTAAATTAGTTTGAGCTAAAGTAAGTTGAAATGACTTGTTTAGCTCACTACAATAGAAAAATTATATTTATGTTTGATGTAGTTATCATTTAAAATTTTGATCGATATTTTTTTTGTATTTCTATTTGAATGAATGACAAATTTAGTTTTATAAAAGAAAATAATTATAACACTTTATTTATTAAAAATAAAATCATGTAATTTTTTTTTATAAAAAAAATCGTAGTAAATCAATTTACTTAACCTATCAACCTATGACCTGAGTCAAATCAAAATAAGAAAATAAATAACTAACTCATTTAAAATATCAACTCATGGTGAACCATCCTTTAAAAGCTCACTTTTGACACATGTAAGTCTAAGTTTAACAATAAGTTCATTTTAAAATTGGTTTATCCAAAATATTTAACTGTTTTATGCCTTTGAATCCTAGAGACAACACGTAAAATAAAGATTATCTTTTTTCTTTTAAAGATAGTGCATTGCGAGGGATCAAAAGTAAAACGTTACATATAGGGAGAGTCAAACAATATTGTACCTGTGGTTATATAATATAGAGGTTAAATTATTTTGTATACTCTCATAGCTTTATTACATTTTAAATATTTCATAGTTTAGAAGTTTTTAACTTTGTGTTTTTATACTTATACTTTCTAATAAATATAGTTATAGTATAAGTAAGCTTTAATTATGCCCTTGCTAATTCTAAAACTTTAATAGTCAAATATTTAAAATATGAAACATCAATCATGAACTATCATATATATATATATATATATATATATATATATATATATATAATTTGACTGATTTTTACAATAATTATTTTAAAAGTATAACAATCATAATTTTTTATTTGTTGTTGACAATGTCAAATTGTATTTTTTTACACTGTTAGTGTATACAAATTAAACTCATACGATAATAGTCTAGAAATAAAAAAGGTAAAAATTACTTAATCCATTAGAAAAATTTCAAACATGTCGTTAGCTGTTAGGAATCTAATTATTATATATTTTTTAATAAATATAGAATCTTGTTAAAACCTTTTATGATATATTTGTATAAGCAATTTAATTAAGCACATTTTCAATAAACTTTTCTTAAATAAAAAACTTATTGATAAGTATAATTATAAATTTATTGAAATGGGTT